TAAAGAAACCATTCACTTTGTGTTTCATCTTAAGACCGTTTATTTATAAGATTACACTGAGTGAAATATTGCACCACTTATGGGATTAGTCATGCACTTCGTCGGTGTGTTGTTAAATCAAAAATGACCCAAGTAGATCAGGCAGGACTCGATCTATCGAAATATTATTTCCGTTTATTTTCCAAACGTAACCTCATATGTTTGTTTAGTCTACGTGTTAAAAGTACAGCTCTCAAGTGAGATTTGTAATCAGGGTTATGAAAAACATCATGACCCAGTCGGTAATTGAATTCCGTTGTAGCTGCGAACAAACGTAAAAAAAGAACATGCGTTGGGCGTTGAACTCCCTTGTTCGCAGTAGGTGTGAAGAAAGTCTGTGGCAGTAGAAATTGGATGCGGTAGAGGTCGCGCGAGTAGTCGTGGCATCTAAGTGCGCGATGTGTAAGCCGAGAGATGGGAGTTCGGTAGTGGTGGGGGTCGCACAGCTTCAGCTGCGGTGACGCACCGAACTAAACACAGCTAGAGCTACAAACCAACAGAAGCTGACATCCATCTAGCGCGTACTTCGGAAGGGTCCATCTCATACGACCAAAATCAGTCCTTTGCGCATGTGCCAGCACTTCTCGCTCGGCCTGTACTTCAGTTAGTAGCCGAGAACGCAGCAAAGAGAAAATTAGTGAGACCAGCAGTGGAGTTATGAATTTTCACGTGAATAGGGACGGGAATAAAAATGGATGCATTTTCAAAACATTTGCCAATTGACTCAGTTTATAGAGTAAAACAACAAATATTTCTTCATGACAGTGTGCAGTGTCATTTATTGACGTCAGTGCATCATTATATTCCTATGAAGCCAGTTTATGTCGTCATTCAGTTAGCTGTCAAGAGTTAGTTAGGTAATTGTGTAAGATTTAACATTTTTATGGCGAATGAATATTTTTGGTCATTATACTGCTCACATTGACCCTATGGATGGCGACAGCGAGCTGCAAAACGTTAGATTTTGACTCAGCACTGACACGACTGATCTTCCGAGATGATTTAAGAGTAGTTACGTTAGTTGTTTAGCTGGTTCGTAAGAAAACTGCGAAAAACCTTGTCCTTTGCCGATCACTCATTCGGACTGTAAAGTGTTCCCAACAGCTCTTACTGTACAATATATACAGCAGGCTAATATGTGCGTTAGAAGTATATGGCAAAGGGGTCGAAGGATGAGAGTGGTAGCAGACAAACATTTCTTCCCAGTTGCAGTACTTTGTAGCTCTGTGTCTCATTTCCTGTGTGTGTAATGCCTTTGGTTTGCATAGTATTTGCGTTTTTTCCTTCTACCTGCAAGTAAAGTCACAGATATGACCAACCTACTGTACACAAGTAGCCGAGCCCACGTGTTGGAGTGCTTTCATGTAACAAGGGGGTTTACATCATTGTGTAATACAGCATGTCATTGAGGAAAGTTTTGACTTCAGAACTACCAAATTTACATACTTCGTGACGTGTTAAAGCCTACACAGTTAGGTCCTTAGTATTAGATTACCAGTTTTTCGCAGTGTTTCTTAAATTAGTTCATCAGCAACTAACGCTTACTAGTGAAACAGCAATTATTACAAGTTTTACCCTTTCTGACTGTATAAAGTACACTCCAGACTGTTATTCTTATGTTTTAATTATGAGAAATATAAACTGGTAGATCTTGTGCAGTGATTATAGGAGCGGTATTTCCTTAGGCAAGTGTCAACGCGTGATGCTGACACTCGCTGCGCTGTTCGTTCATCAACTGTTACGGCTTCTGCATTATATACGTACACACTACGTTTTCAGTTTGCAGGTTGTAAAGTTTCTGAGATGTGCCCTCGTGAGCCACTCAGCCTCAGAGAGTCGGTGTATAAAGTATTCAGTTGCTTCAGGCCATTTGTGTATGTCCATGTTTGCGCGCCATCCGCCTTTGATCGTGTCGGTCACTTTAGTTGTAAACTGAGTACATCCTTGTGGAGGTTAGTCTGTCTTGAAAGAACATGAACTGAATTAGTTAAACCAGTAGTTGACTCGCCCATATGTATTCTTGTTAAATGCTATTACACGGTTGAACATACCATTCACACACCTGACAAACATTTCCATTACCAGAATAGTGTTAATGCATATTAATTTAAAAGAAAGGGCGCTTCTATTTTTAAACGGAATGATGGAGAACTTTTCACGGAGTTCTATCGTTTTGTTGTGATTGCATTGAATGAAAGCCGGCTTCATTCCATTGGCTTGTAGAATTTGCATATTCAGAGTAAAGGTTACGTGTTCCTTATAGAAATATAAATAACCCATTGTTTCTGCTTCCACACATCTGACATGTGTGTTTAGATCTGTATCGTAGCAGGGAAAGCTACGTTCACTCATTCCATTAAAACATTACGTTCAACCTCCTATTTCTTCATAGTCTTGCTAATCTAGTTTCGTGTTCTTTTATAGGTTATGGTCTTTGCTGTCCAGACCGAATCACGTTAGAATTGTTCAAGGTACTAACATAAGATCGCGTTCTCTGCCAGTTTTTAATAACCTAAGCGACACCGAAAAACTGAAATGATATACTAAAAACCATCTTATGAATAGACCTCTGTGCATTGCACCTACATTTATTGTAGTCATCTGTTTGGAAGGAAGCGCTGATTGCATGCAAGTCGTTTGAAGGCAGTGGCAATTGGCGTTAGATTCCATTCCGCAGTGGCGCCGCGTAGTGATCGCTTATGAATGAAACCAGTGTTTTCCAAAGTATGGTGCGCGTAACATCGGTAGTACGTGCGAACGGATTTCGAGGGGAATGCAGTAAAATTTAACAGATTCGTTAATAGTGATGTAGCTGGTAAGTTTTTGAAGTGTTTTAGCTTACTTTATAGCTTCTTTTTTAGTTCGTACCAAAAGTTTAAACGTAATGTGGTTAACTGCTTCTTTTGTAATTCAGAGAGGAGGTAAATTATAAAGGCTGAGATCCCGAAAGGGGTGTACAAATTTTTAAAGTTTGGTAAACACTGAATTAAGCGATTGATTGTCAGGGAATTAAATGGGGATAGATATGTTTATTTTTCAATACAAAACGGGTCATGGTCTCACAGAAGCCAGACCAAAAGCATAAGAAAAGACAGAGAAACATGTGAAATTATGCGAAAGGGTTTTATAGGCTGTGTTCCTTATTTCACCGACTCTTCGCTTGTCGATTAAAGCGATTTTACTGCGTATTGATACAGAAGAGGAACTATAGAATTTCCGTGCTAATGACACTTTAAAGACGTTTAAATGAGGGTTTTATTTTCCTGATTCCAGGTTCGATCCTGGTTGTCAGCCTGAAGGGAATGGTTTTTCTGATTATTGATTCAGGTTTAAAGGCAAGGCTGTAGGTCACTTCACCTGGCTCCGACAGGTACTTTGTGCCTCCCTCCCCCTCCACACACACACCACGCCCCTCCACGGACCATCCTGTGCCGGAATTTGCACTGACAAAGGCGCATGTTACCAAGTCCGATGCTTGGCTCGTTCAGTGGGGACGAATCTGTGCGTTCGAGATCCGTTAGAAGTAAAAATCAAGGTGTGGGAGGGGTAGCAGATAAAGAAGTATATACTGCCCAAACTTTACACATTATTTCCCAACGACAGGACTTCGTGCTCTGTAAAAGTAGCGTCAGAACTGCACAAATTAAACAATTGACATTATGGGCAGGATACGCATCGTGTAACAACGAAATAAGACAAGAACTTACGGTTAATGTAGGAAATATTTTTAACCCTCTGAAACCGAAGCTCGTCTGAGTAGTGTTTAATAATTTAGTCCGTACCGAAAAGAAAACTCAGCACTTCATCATAGCAAAAGGTGAGCTGGTTATTGCCATTTGAGGAAATTATCATTCTTCATTCTGAGAATCAATTACAAAGTGCAGCATTCTTGTTGTTAAAATATAAGGTACGTATAGTTAAGACAATTGACAGCTATAAAGCCAGTTGAGTGAAACATGTCTTAAGGATGAATCTAAACCGATTTCCATATAATTTGCTATAATGTAAGCCAACAGGAATATCAAAGAAAGAAATAATGCCCAAGGGACAATGAATGGACCAATCCTAAACCGGAAATGAGACAGCTGGAGTGGCATGCACCATGATGACCACGTAATACAAGGCTTTCTTTTTTATGTTTTCCTCCGTGCTTGGTAGAGGCCTTAGAATGGACCGATCACCAATCCAGGGAGTCACACCGGATGTATAACAGGCTGGGTGAAGCAGAGACCACCTACACCATTAAGTAAAGTGGTATAAAAAAGATTGATAAAAACACAGATAAAAGAATTAAAAAGAGAAACAGAAGCAGAGAGAGTAATTAGGAAGGGAGATTAGAACAGAGTTGGGTTGTGACGCCTTGTAGGGGTTTACCAACGTTTCGGATGAACAGGGTTGAAAAGATCTTATTGGTTCTGACGTCGCGTAGTCATTTCAGCGGTTACCAAGGTTTAAAAGGAAGTCCAGTCACCTACAAGCAAATGCTGAAATGGTTCCCAAGTTCCAAGTTGCCATTGCATGCTTCTCATGCAGCCCTCCCTATTTAAATTCATCAAAATTTACCCCCTTAAACTCGTCAGAATTCCCCCCCACCTCCTCCAGCCGATGTATTTACTTAACTTTACAAATTATAGCTTCAGCATGTTCTAATAAAATTTCCGTCGTTTCTGCTAGCAAACTGCCACTAATTAATGCCCTAACGTCTTCACTCTTACTTTATCTTTACCATGAGGACGAGCGGGCATTGCCTGGGAACCTTCTGACTGTAAGATGCTCTTTCTCCCCCTCTCCCCACAAATCGAAGTGTCTCTCACTTCTCCCCCACAAATTTTATCTTCGCTTGTACTCTTCTGCTATCCTTTTTATCTCTTTCTCTCTGTCTCTCTCTAAGAGATTACATGGCGTTGCTTACAGAGCAGAAGACAGTCCACATTTTCACCGCCTTGATAACCTCAAGCCTCGTTCGGTGCCAAGACCGGTTGATGTTCATACAGCAGGCCGTAAACATATTTTGTTTTAGCAATGTTTTAAAAGTAGACTTAGGATTGCGATTGTGTTGACTCGTTTCAGGCTGGTAGGAACTCACCGTCTTCCACTGTAAAGCCACAAAACATAAAATGAAAGGAAATTAATTTCTTGACCAGATGAGAGAATATCAGCTTCTCAAGTATAACTTGCTCCAGGGATTTAGTTGCGTCCTTTAGAGTCCGCCACTTTTTAAGTCGTAGGAGTATTTAAATTAGGTAGTTATTTTTCTTATTTTTTCAGAACCTGCTACCTTCCTGTTGAGGTATTCCAACTGAATTACGTACATTGAACATGGGAGGAATCCAGCAACAGCAGTGGACCCCAACAAAGCGACGAGGTCCCATTGCAGCAGAATATTCAAGTCCAGGACCAGCTTGTGTTACATTGCCAAATCTTATAGGTAAGCCCTTGTGTGGGAAAGAATTTGTCACGCACAAATTAACATGTAAGTTTGTCGATCAGCCACAACAGAAATTTCGCTTCTATATAAGAGCTGTGATACCTTGTTTTCTTTAAAGTAGTTTTCAAGATGATTCATTCCACGTTCAGAAATGTTATTATTACTAATACAAGATATCCATCAATTAACTCTTATTTAGGATGGTTAATTATGTATTTCTCGCAGTTTTATTCTGTCCCTCTGGACCGTCGTCATCAGCAAGAGTGTGGGCAATGTGGCACTCAGTTACGCATTGAAAAAAATTAGCATGAATTATAATGTTAGGCTGTTCGTATTGTTACTTGATGTCTTTACACGTTTAAATGACGAAATATACGATAAACAAACAACAAATTAAGGGTATCTGAATACTAAAGTAGTTTCATATGCATCACTCTTTAATGGTAAACTTTTTGTAAGTTCATAGACATATTAAATTTGGTTCTGACATCCACCCGTGCCCTTAGATTGTGCTGTCTTAAAAGAAAAGTTTTGGTGGAGTTCAATTACTCAAGCATGGGGCACCTCCCTGGACCACCCTGGCTCGACTACAGTCTGATAACAGTTTAAAAAGTATACATACATTTAAGTATATATATTAGCTTGTAACATTTATGATTAAAATACACAGGAATATTATTTGTGTGTCAATAATAAGTCTCCCTTAAGTACAGTAACAGTATTCTGGTATGCGAGCATCTTGTACTTTTTACTGGCGTTTGTCGTAGGTGGTTGTAGGAGCAACTCGTGTCTTTTCAAGGTCATTCGCTTTCTCCCCCTCCATGATTTCAGAGTTCAGAAAGGATTTCTGAACTTCACAGCTGATCCTTCCACCTACATTAGGCCACATTTACACGTGGATGAATAAGGATGGTGGAGTCCTTGGCTGGACAGAATAGTTGTACCTAGAAATAAATGACAGGTTATGTCAAAGTCAAACAAAAAGTAACAAAATGGCAGTGACACTGTTGAATTTATATATAACATTAAGTTGATTTTTGCTTGTTACTTCTATCTCTTTATGTGTCTTCACATTCAGATGGCCTGCATTTCACTGCCGAGAGTCAATTGGATTTGTTTGTTTATTTATACTGCAGGCAGCATTTGACAGCAAGCACAGAATATTAATGATGAAAATATAAATGGTCTCTTGAAGTCAATCAATGTGTAAGTTATACTTGCATGGACTTCATAACAGCGTGTTTCATTCGTTAATCTAAGATCTGGTTTTTCAAGGTCAAGTCAGTGGCCGTTTGTCAGTGTACTGATGATATCATTTGCCTGCTCAAATGCATATCCAATTAACTATGCACTTTAGTTGTGTTGGCTCCTCCTCTTCTTCTTCTTCTTGTTCTTCATTTTTGTTGTTGTTGGTAGTAGAACACTTGCTTACAGACGTAGGGCATAAGCACTAGGCATTATGAAATGACTGGTTTTAATCTGTCACCTATCCTGACCAGTGGAATATTCAGAATTTTATTTCAGGGTGAAAGGTGAATTTCTTTAAACATATTATTCAGTAAAATTACATTTTATTATACTGTAGCATAAATCATCTTTACTAATAACATAATATTGTTCACTTTATCATTAGACCTTTTCTGTCTTATACAGAATAACTGAAGGGAAAAGACAATTTTCGAGAATAAGATCTAAGACTGAACAATAATATTAAAGTTGTTCTTAAATAAGTAGGATGTGAGAATGTGGAATGTGTTGTCCCACTACAAGCCATGTAGGCGCTTGTGGGGAGGGGTATAGCTCTTACTCCTTAACCTCAGCTCTAGGTGGGGGTGAGTGGTTAGTGTCACACCTAACTGCATTTTTCCCCTGGGAAAGGACCCTGGTACGCATTGGATAGGAGGCTGGGTGGGCCCCAGAATGCAGAGGTTAGAGGAATAATCCTCTGCCCTCATCAGGGATCAAACCGCGGTCGCCCAGTCCATACTGTATACTGACTGAGGAAATTCTTTGACAAGCCGAATGATCGTGAGTTTCTCAAGAAAGACTCTCCTTGATGGAATTAGAAAATTATGTCAGAAAAAGAAGACTCTTTTCAGGTCATTCCGTGTTTCAGGATTGGGGTGTTGGACCCATAAATCCTGGACTCTCCAAATATTGATATGTAATGTGTGCCACTAATCTCCATTTAGCACTGAGTTTGATAATGTGTTTAGATTTACCTCATTTCCATCAAACATCTTATTGGTGGTGTGATTATATACAGAGATACATTTACTTCATCTTTATAATTAAACAGACAACAATTACATACCAATGCAGTCTGTGCAAAACCCATCACTAGAAAAATGTCTTCGCCTTCAACTACAACTGGAAAACACAAAAATAGTAAACTTCAATAAAAGTTTGCAATTGCTGGAATTTTAACTAATTATATTACTTTATTTTATCAGTATGTGTGTACTAGTAGACATAAAATTAAATGAATAAAGACAAAATTTGACTGAAAAATAAACAGATGCAATAAAATGAGCATAGAGTTCAAATTTTAGCTGCATTATGATGCAGCTATTCATTTTGCAATGTTTAAAATTTTACTTTTATTTTCAGGAGTTTCATCAGTTCCTGACTCGAAGCGTGGCCGTGCACCGGCATTCAGTTTTGGAAGCAGGTAGGTCTCAAATGTGAAATTGTTGGAACTTTCCGTAAACTTTGGTTATTTTTATAATTATACCATATGTAAGTGGATCCTTTCTTGAATGATAGTTACCTGTTAGTCCAACCATCGTGCCATCATTTAAGGTAACAATCTCGGTACATTCTTCTAATCTTAATATTAAGCAATGATCAGAAACAACAAGAGTCTAAATGTGTACACTTCAGAATACACTAAAATTCCAAAGATGTTCTTTATGCCATATCATGGGTGATTATCTCAGTAGGACAGTCAGTGGAATAACAAATGCAACAATGGTATCAAAGGCAACAGTTCCAAGGTCATTGTTGTAACAGTATGATTAAATATGTGACGTACATACATGGATGGGCACCTACAGTGTTATTTGCTTGTGTTAGAGCATAAAAAAACACCTAAAACTTTTGTATAGGTTCATAATTACAAAATCCATATCCTGATGAACATGTTTTGAAACTCTGTGTAATCAAATTGGACCCAAATTTTTGTTATTAATTTGAATCCTGTTTTGTTTTATCCTCTTGTTTCTGGGTGCAGGCACTGTGCAGACATTTCATCTGTACTGTCAATGTGTTCATGAAAGGGTTATATGATAAATATGTTTATTTAGAGAGATAAAATTATAACATTTTATTTCAAGGTCAGATTCTTGACATTGTTTTATGTGTGCTTCTTTCTGAGTCATCACACTTTTGATTTAGTGAACTGCAGAAATCAGTGGTTTAAAAGATGAAATATGAAAAGAATTGTAATGAAGTCTTGTAGGCTGTGTAATTTAAAAGGTTTTTATATGCCAGTCTGCACCGAGTGAATTCTTGGCACTCTTTCACTGTTGAGAATTTCTGAAGTGTGTATTTCATTTCAGACACGGAAATAAAAATGACAGCCCTGGCCCAGGACCCGGCCAGTACAATGTCACTGGACTCAGTGCAAAAGGTAAGACTGATGTCCATAAGTACTCTTATATGATTTGAAGCTTTCACGGTGACATAACGCAATAAAATCTTCTCGGGCAATTAGGGGGTCTGCAGTGGCTGCGCAGTCTGAGGCGTGGCCCTTGTGCCGCTGGGACCGTGGGTTCGAATCCCACTCAAACCATGGATGTTTGTCCGCGTTTTTCTGTGTTGTGCTGTCCTGTGTACAGGTAGAGGCCTTGCAATGGGCCGATCCCTCGTCCAAGGAGTCCTACCGAATGTCTATAGATCAAGTCAACGAAAAAAGTTGGGACCCGCAGTGCTCAGGCACTTGAAGAATGGGTTGTCCCCAGTATCCCAGGCAATTAACCACGTCAAATGGTTAAACAGTAAAACCGACGTTTCAGGGACTGTCTCTGTTCCCATCATCAGGCTTCTGATCAGAACCATTTGACGCAGCTGATCGCCTGAGAAGATTTTATTGGGATAAGTACTTTTCATTTTCAATAATAAATGTGTTTTTTGAAAAGTTCTATTTTATTCTGTTTTGTTGTCACTTCTCATTTCAAGAAGATATGAAATTCCTTTGGTGTGCAGACCTACACTAGGATGACCTTTCTACCAAGAACAAGGAAGTTCAGTAGAAATATACCTTGGAGTAATTATTACCAAAAATGTATATAGTATAGCCTCTTAACTGTAACCATTAATGCATCCCATTGAGCTACCAGGTGCTAGATGCCTTATGAACATTTTGTAGTTTTCCTCTAAAATCAGTTGTGCACCTCAGCATTAGATTAGAATTGGTGTCCCTTGAATGCTTTTATCAGGAGACCAGCGATGTGAAAATCACACAAGTAGGCATCCTTCACGATCAGAGAAGGCTGTAGGCATTACCTTACCAGCAGATCTTTCAGCCTTAATTTTCTTGTTGTGAGATGCTGGACTTTTCCTCTGCATACTTGAATTTTTTAACTGTGGCCCATATCACTGGCACCCTGTATTGTAACTGGCTGCATGGAAGGTGGGTTTATATTAAACGTTCACCTCCAGTAACTTCCCACTGTCTTTTCCCCATTCCCTGCATACTCCATACAGTGTTTAGGATTTGAGGTTTTCACAGTGGTGAGTCTGAAGATGGCTGTCTTCTGGGTTGTTGTGCCGTGTAGTCTGGTAGAAGTATACCGACGTTTCATAGGTCCTTGCTGCTACTGTCATCAGGGCGATGAGTGATGGAGACAGCAAGGACCTCTGAAACGCCGATAAACTTTACCAGACTACACTGTGCAACAACCCAGAAGACTGTAATCTTCTAATACACTGTTGCATTTGAGGAGGTATCATTACATGAAGTAACTACCTCCATCCTTGAGATTTTGTTTAAACAGAAAAAGTCTTTGCAAGGAGAGGTAAAGTGTATTTGTTAATTTTACACATATTACATGCCAAAGAACTGGTAGCTGTCTTTGCCAGTGTATGAAGACTGTTTATTGTGAATGTACTTTCTGTTCAGGTAAGGACAACCCCTTAGCTGCCACTCTTCACAGCCGACCAAAGGAAGTACGGGCTGATCTCACACCTGCACCAGGCGACTACAATCTTGAGAAGTCCGAAGGCATTATGCATGACACTTCTCCCAAATACACGTTTGGCCTCAAGACACAGGTGGAGAAGCCGAGTCAAACCCCAGGTATTGTGTCTGTTACAATCTGTGCGCATTAATTCCACTAACAAATGTTTTCAATGTCCATATATTTGTTGCTCTGATAAATTTGTTTCACCATTAATGTTTTCCTAAGAATATGTTTTCTTTAAATACTAATTTTGTCAGAATTTTGAATAGAAAAATATTAATAACTGTATGACTGTGTGTTAGAGATCTGAGAAAGTCAGTAGTGTCACAAAGAACAGTATAATTATTGGTATAATTTTACATGATTCAGTTTTATATAGTTTCTGAGAAAAAATTACCTATGTCTACAAATACCAAATTCTGGGACAATGTAATAAAAAATTATAAAAATCTGTTTACAATTATATTACTATGAAAAATGTCTGTAGATACAGAAAGCACATAACTACATGTGTGCCATATTAGTGAATACAGTTTGTAAGTTGTTTAGAAAATGCACCTTAATGTGATAAAATTTAAATTTCAGATATCAGTGCAACCTGTCTTCTCCTTTAAATTTAAATTTGTATTTGTACACTTTAAGTGGACTTGAACAATAGGTCTGTCAGTCCAGTATTTAATTTATTATCCTTGTGTGACTGATTCATCAGATGATTGACTTGCCACTTAATTAGTCAATATAAACTCAGTGAGATTAACAATTTGGTATCACAATAAGAAATGTTATTTTATTTGTATAATAATATCAGCACATGCATGTAGCACTGTAAACTGAACTTTTCATTTTGAGGTTAAGAGGTAAGTGGCGTACATAATAGTATGCTTTTGAACTGAATGTAACATTACTTACAGTATCAGCAGATGAATATATGCTACTAACATTAGGTGAGGCTATATTTTATATATTCATTTTCCAAAATGTTACACCAAATTTAATATCAAATACCACTGTTAACAATAACTTATTTCAATGTACTAATAAAGAACATTTTTCCTTATAGTCACTAGGATTGAAAATATTTTTTGTATGTGAACATTCATAATATAGGTTTTTGAACCCACAGTATTCAACAAACAATCAATTGCTGCACATAAGGTTTGGTTTTATAATATTTTTTATGTTTGAACATACTTTTTCAGTCCTGAGTACATTTTCTCTACTTCATTACACTACTGTAAATAACAGTTATTGCCCTCTGTTCAGGGGAAAATAAAAATTATAAGTAGTAAACAATTTGTTTACATTGAAGACATTAAGTTTAATTTTTGCATGTCAGTTGGGAAAACAAAATTCTGAAAATGGTTTCCTTCTTTAACCTGCAGCACCAAATGTTTACAACATCCCAACTGTTCTTGGGCACACAAAAGAGGGTAACAAGAAACAGGCCCCCGCATTTACAATTTCTGGGAGGCAAAAAGTACCATTAGATGACCGTGTTCTGACTCCAGGGCCTGGGTCATACAATAATGCTAAGGCTGACAACTACAAAGCAAAGGCACCAGCATACTCCATCAGCTCTCGCTACCAGATGCCTTCTGATTCAACAATGAAACCAGGCCCAGGTGCGCACTCCCCAGAGAAGGCAAGTTTCTACTTTGTTTTTATAGAGAGATGCATGTTTTTAGTTGCATAGTTCCTGCAAACTATTGAGTTGCATGTCCAGTTTAGGTGTCTTGTAACTAACATCTCTTTCTGTACAAGAACTCCAGTTCATTGCTTTTTAACTTTGCTCAAAATAAACAGATTACATTTTGAAGATAAAATGATTTAGGATTTGAGGTTTACATGGCGGTGAATACAAAGATGGCTGTCATCCGGATTGTAGCGTTATGTAGTCTGAAATGTTGGCAAACTTCTTCCAAACTACATGACATTACAGCCAGAAGATAGCCATCTCCAGAAAACAGTGACATCTTTTTATTAACTATAATAATATTTCTGCATCAGTATTTATTAAATTAATTATTAATCAGTTATGCCTAAAATGCATACAATATGTAACATTTGGCTTGCCTGTCTGCACTGTTTTACTCTTGTTTACGTATTTTGATCTACTTTCTTATTAAAGTCCTTGCAAAAAAATTATTTACCAAACTGGATTACATGACTTACCACTTTACACAAACAACTAAATACATATTCTTAAAACTTTGCATACCATGTAGTGTAATGCACTAGATGTTGTTATTCACAGGAATAACAACATCTAGTGCAGTATTTTCTAAATCCAGTTTAAACCATTTGATTAAATGAATTAATTTCCCTGATGCCAATGTTGATGACCTCTTGAGGTTGAAACGTGTATGGCAATAGTGTTTTTTATAGTGTTAACAGTTGTTTGTTTACTTATTTTATATTGCATACATATGTGCATACTGCTTTGATACTGGATCAGAAACAGGTGGACAGACAGGCTTCCCCACAGGGAGTGTTCTGCTTCCTAAAGCATGCCTAGTAATGGGTTCAAGTTAGTTCTTGAAATAATGATTAAATTAAAGTATATATGGCAAGTTAATATTAATATGCTTTGTACATGAAAATAAAACCTAAAAAATATCCATGAATTTAATATATATCAAGTTGTCTCTACTTATATTATAATGCTGAAATCTGACTGCCCTAAATTTAACAATTACTTTACTACTATAACCATAAATTTCAGTATCTTAATAGTGAGAACCAACAGAACATGGGTAGACTAATCTACTAACATTCCATTGGCCTCCCTTCCTACCCTGCAGGTATATATTGACAAGACCTGGGCCCCCAGTTATTCGTTCGGCATCAAACATTCCCCATACATTGGGATTTTCCAGCCAAGAACCGTGAATGACAAAAAGTGACTTCCATGACTCATCAGTAACAAAGACAAAGGCATGGATGCATGAAGATGTTGATGTTGTTTCGGTAATGTACCTGGTACACATTTATAGTAGTAAAGAAGGGTTTTGTATGGGCACAGATTCTTACTTGTTTTAATTTAATAATACTCTAATAAGTAAGGTTAAGAAAGAAAGAGAATGTCATTGTCTTATGTTCATGGTTATTTTGTTTTATGTTTATGTTTAACTGCATCTCAGGTAGAAAATAGATGTTTAATTAATTAAAGAATTGATAATGATTCTTACAGTGTTATTTCTTTGTTAACTTGTAACATTTCTTAGATTACACAAATGTGAGGTTGTGTAAAAAGCCGTTCTGAATCGACTCCATCTGTGACTGAAGTTCGGAACTCAATGTGCAGCTGGAATTAGTATTTGGATGTATGTGATAGTGGTGCTAGAATGCTAACTCTTTGAAGTTAAGGCTTGTATAAATATAATTTAAAAATTCAGACTGTGTTGTAACCTTCACGAATCTGAATGCTGGACCTTAAGTCTGCAGCCTGTCAGTCAGGCCTATTACTCTCTATGCTGAAAATATTGTGCCTGTCCCTGGATGCAGCATCCAGTTGTATTGCTTTAATTGTTACAAACCTGTTACTTTGTTTTATTATTAACATCCCTGAATGAAAAATGTATGATACTGGTACTTGACTGACTGGATTGTTCATTTGCCAGGACCCCAAGTTTTGAAAAGAATTGTAGAATCCCCCAAATTGCCTACATTTCGGGTCTGAACTCTTTAGACTGTGGGACAAGAGACAGAGAGAGTAGATGGAATAAGGGAAAGCTTCAGAGCCAATCAGCAGGTCACTGTTTATTTGGTGCACGACTATTATCTGCCCTGAGAAAATCATATTCCTATTGGTAATGCCTGACAAATACAGAAGGAAATCAAACATGTAAACTTTGCAGGTGGAGCAAAGGCACGACTTGGTCAAAATTTACATTCTGAATAGTAGATATATTTCCTTCTCTTTGTCACCATCGACATCACATTTTCTGCATTCCTTCTAGGGTTAAAAAGCTGGGACCCAGACTGTACCACCCACAGCTGACCATGCAAGGACAAGCTTTCAGATTTATGCTGGTACCTATACCTTAAAAAAACACAACATTGTCTCCATTACAAAGGTCAAATGTTTGATATTGTTGAGGAAAACAATCGCTGTTTATTGTGAGAATGATATGAAACTCGTAAATACTCTCTGTGGACAGAATTCAGAGCTAGTGATTATTAAATCAGGTGGTACACGAAATTTTTACTGGGCTGTAAAGAGTTGTTTGGCTAGCACTGTGACTATAATAGGAATTATGGAGTTGGCGTGGGAGAGGAATGTATGCCAGTCACTGATGCAATGCTATAGAGAACCTGTCTTCTGCTGCATTCAGTATAACAGACTGCAGTAAAGCTGAGATCCAGAACTTATTTTTACAAGTTCTTCTATGGCTCTCCGGTCCGTATTCGGTCCATGGCCTCCTCAATTCTCCTCTTCCATTCGGTCCTTCTGTTAGGTCTGTCTGTCCGAGGTTGAGGTTTCAAAACATCTTCCTTTTAATGATGCAAGGTTGCGACCAACCCCCAACCTGGAGGACCAGGGTACCTGTCTTAGTCTGACCTCTCCCCCTCGACCAATCTGGCTAGGGAGGCCCTACCAGTAGCTCTTGGGGTCACTGAGGTACTCAAGCCCCACCACCACGACAAGGTGCAGGTACCATTAAGTGGGGTCTATATACAAGTATTGCCACATTTAATGTGCATTGCCTTCAGTCAGTTTAATTGCATAAATTAAATATCTCTCTCTCTTTTGCTCTCACACACATTCTCTCTCTCTCTCTCTCTCTCTCTCTCTCTCTCTTAGTTAATGGCATTCCTATTACATGTGTATCATAATGTAAAGTTTTCATCTACTTTAATTCAGGTGCCTAAATATATTAGTACAATTATAATTTGAGTCTTTGAAAGATTCTGAAGATACCTGATGTATGGCATTTGAATTGTATGAATATTATCGTGTGTAAGTTTCATTCTAATTAATTTTAAAAGTCACTTTATGAGTTGCCTGTGTAAATGTTTATAAATTATTTTGACAGCTTTGTCAGATTTTAATGAAACTTTATATACAGCACTTCTGTTTTAATACATACTAGCATGTATGAATTTATCCACTTTAATTATTTTCAGGACTAAATTCATATTTGATAACATCAAACAAAGTATTACTTTTAGAGAATCATGTTTTGAAAGGAAGTTGTAGGTAGGCACGGATTTTAAGTGAAACATACATTTTAATGTCACTGTTATGTGGGTACAGTTACTTGTTTAAATCAGGTAACCTTAAAATGGTCCGTATACTGGATGATATTCACCGGGCCACATAACTTCCTAAGGATGCCTTATTTTAAGTTATAATTTTTTAAATTATTATCATAAACTGTTATCAGAAGTATTAATCATTAAAACATCTTTTCTGCTTGTTAGTACCTGAGTATAAATTATTAAATGTACTTTAATAAAGCTTTCTTTTGACTGCATCAAATTTAATTCGTAAAGAACATTTTTTAATCGCCGAATAACTACAATTTAACCTTTACTGTTTGTGCTTATGCACAGTCCAGCTGTCATATTTCTAAACCATTAATCTCGAAGAACTTTCAGCCGGCAACCCCATAACACAGGGTTTTAATTAATTAATCCTGTATGGTAAATTCAAACATGTTAATGATAAGTAACTTTATTTCAGGCAAGGTTGGATAACCTCCCAGCACATACATTTGGGATCAAGCATTCACCCTATGCTGGCTGCCTTAAAGACAATGCGTGGTAGAATGGAATCAAGTAGCGAGAAATCATCAGCTGCTATCGCATTGTTCCATCATTCATCGTCTCATAATACAAAAGCTTTTCTGTTGTCTGAGTCTTAATTCATCATTTATATGTGCCTCACTAATAATTGCAGAATACCAACTTGATTATTCTGTAATCTAATTAGACAATAAGAAAAATGTTGCACAATTTTAAAATTGGAACAAGAGAAAATGAATGACTGATATGAACTATTTCTGAATCTTCAGTTTGTATATTAACATTCTTCACTGTAGAAAAATAAAGGTGTAATTATGAAAGTTAACTGCTTTGAAATGGTAACTTAAATTATATGAATTTCTTGCCATTATGCAGTAAAAATTTAAAATCATTCTTCTCAAGATATCTGTCTTCTGGGTTTAGCACCATAGAGTCTGATAGAAGTTTACCAATGTTTCAGAGGTCCTTGCCACCTCCATCATCAGGGCAAAGAAGGTGGGAGGATAATATACATAATACATAGTCATCAAAATAGAGCACCCTAGTAGGATTTGAGGTTCCCATGGTGGTCCCCCTAATGATGGAGGTAGCAAGGACCTCTGAAACATCGGTAAACTTCTACCAGGCTACGTCCCTGAAGATGCCATCTTCAGACTCACTGCCGTGAAAACCTCAAATCCGACTTCTAATTTCAGTACATATGACATGGAATATCACAGCTTGTGAATTTATGTATTACTTGTAACTTAGAACATGGGTGAGGCAATCCAACTCATTTGCCAACAAAGTGTCAAATTTAATTATTTTTTAGTTTTATTTGTAATATTAAAATATAATTATGCCAGTCACAATGGCTGCATGGTCTGAGACGTGGGCCTTGTGCCGCCTGGACACTGGGACCGTGGGTTCAAATCCCACTCAAGGCATGTATGTTTGTCCGCGTCTCTCTGTGTTGTGCTGTCCTGTGCATAGGTAGAGGCCTTGTGATGGGCCGATCACTCGTCCAAGGAGTCCTACCAAATGTCTAATACATCATGCAAACCTCCAAAAAGAGAGGAAAAAAGCAGACCCTGCCAAAGCGGGACAAATGCTAAAGAAAAAGAAGATTAAAATATAATTATGCCTGAAATACCCTGGGTTTGCATTGAGCTGCAAAAGTCTATGTATTGAAATTTTGCAGAAAATATTTAAGAGAGAACCAAGTGTTAAATGTAAATAAAAAAATTATGAAAATCACAGCCATCAGATAATTATATGACCAACTTTACAATTAAATACAGAATGCCTTACGTTTGTGCAAATATGCACAGGACTGTCGTAAAGTAAACTACATTTTAAGGCAATGCCAGAGTCTGGAAAAGTGAGGACTTTGTTCTCTGTTAATGCAGCTGGGCATTTTCACCTTGAATATAGAGGTTTATAAACAAATAATTAGCAGATGGTGAACATATCTACAAAGCAAACAAATACACTGTATTTCATGCTGAAATTGATATCTATTATTGTTGTATGATGATTTGCAGTTCTATGTAGGTAGTTAAAATTTTATGAGTAATTTTGATCATGGCATGTTAATGAACTGTCTTCCTTCATTATTAGCAGTCTTCTCAAGGAACTATCCTCTATGTACACACTCGTCCCAGCCCTGGAGCATAACTCCAGGGGTAGGACAAGTGTGTAGATATCTAAAAAGGATTTGCACCCAAGGGAGAAAGCAAAGAAACAGTAAAATTTCTGGTTATATTTGAACCATCCTCATACTTCTTTTGCTTCATCTTATATATACCGAAATACCTTCCAGCAATCAGTGAAATATATTTATGAAATACAAACTTCTTGTGAAGGAATAAATTAGACTTTCTGATTCCTACAAACAACTTGGAATTCAAATTTGACTTATGTATGGAAGAACCTAAGATTTAACCAGGGGTTGTCATACTTTTTCTACAGCATGAAACATATTATGCTGGAAATGTGTTACATGCCACCCAGGAACAGATCTAGAAGCTGCCCAGGGCAAATTGTATTTGGGATGAAGAGAAAAAAAGAGGTTGCAGAAATTGGTTATTCAGTTATCACCTTCCTATAAAAGGAGCTAAAAAATGTCACAAAGTTTGAGCTCTCAAGGGAGAAAACTGTGCCTCGCTCCATTGATCCATGGCTGGTGCAGGTCATTGTTTTTGCATAAGTTAATTTTTATGTTGATTCTTATGTTTATAACTTGTAATATAAAAATAATGTAGACTTGCATAGGTAATACTATTATCCATTTCCTTCTCCTCTCATACAGAAATTGCCCTTAATGAGGCTGCTAAATCCATTTCAGGCTTATAATTTATTAGATGTTTGGCTTCACTTTTGAATACTAATACTTTAGATATTTAAGGTGATCTTCAGTTAATCGTTTTTGAAACTTCACAAGGAGATGTGCCACTGACAAGAACTGGGCATGCCACATGTTGGACAAATTTAACTCAAGAATTGCTGAATGGAATTTAATTAACTTTGATGTGGTGAGTTTAACTAAAGTATCACAACATAATTCCAATTTTGGTTAAGATCTGACAACAGTAACATACACTTTGTGTGATGATCTACACATGTTTTGTGTGTTTTGTGGGCAAAGTTGATGCCCCCAATTTGCTCTCAAACATCAGTGTGATTGGAATCTGCAGTCCAGGCAATTAGATTAGAAGAAACCTTACAGGCAACTCTAGGTTTACGAACAAGTTCCGTTCCAAGATGTCCGTTATGTGTATCTTGCATTCCTGAGCTTTTACAATACGTATCGTATCGTATCGTATACGTTAGCAGCATTAAAACCATGTATTAAACATCGAGTGGTCTATACAATACATTTTATTATAATGTATGTATGTGTTATGGTTTATCAGTAACAGCACTACTATTTCGCTTTGGACCCATACATAACACAACATAAAACATATTTTTAAGTCACCAAATGCAGAATTACAATTGACCGTCTATGATAACCTAGGCAAGGCAAGTGATGATCCTATTATATTATAATAGGGGAAATCACCGATTTCTTTCCCACGAGAAAACATTCTACGCGGTGTGGCATGTAAACCAACGTTTTTTTACTGGCTAGATTAGTTTTAATATCCAAGAACAGTTCAGTACAATTATCATGTAATAATTTTCTGATAATAATTATAATAAATACATTTTTTAAAAGTTTATTTATTTAAATCTTACAATTATGACCACTATACGTCAAGCATTTCGTTTTATGAGGAACTAAATATAATTATGCCTGAAATACCCTGGGTTTGCATTGAGCTGCAAAAGTCTATGTATTGAAATTTTGCAGAAAATATTTAAGAGAGAACCAAGTGTTAAATGTAAATAAAAAAATTATGAAAATCACAGCCATCAGATAATTATATGACCAACTTTACAATTAAATACAGAATGCCTTACGTTTGTGCAAATATGCACAGGACTGTCGTAAAGTAAACTACATTTTAAGGCAATGCCAGAGTCTGGAAAAGTGAGGACTTTGTTCTCTGTTAATGCAGCTGGGCATTTTCACCTTGAATATAGAGGTTTATAAACAAATAATTAGCAGATGGTGAACATATCTACAAAGCAAACAAATACACTGTATTTCATGCTGAAATTGATATCTATTATTGTTGTATGATGATTTGCAGTTCTATGTAGGTAGTTAAAATTTTATGAGTAATTTTGATCATGGCATGTTAATGAACTGTCTTCCTTCATTATTAGCAGTCTTCTCAAGGAACTATCCTCTATGTACACACTCGTCCCAGCCCTGGAGCATAACTCCAGGGGTAGGACAAGTGTGTAGATATCTAAAAAGGATTTGCACCCAAGGGAGAAAGCAAAGAAACAGTAAAATTTCTGGTTATATTTGAACCATCCTCATACTTCTTTTGCTTCATCTTATATATACCGAAATACCTTCCAGCAATCAGTGAAATATATTTATGAAATACAAACTTCTTGTGAAGGAATAAATTAGACTTTCTGATTCCTACAAACAACTTGGAATTCAAATTTGACTTATGTATGGAAGAACCTAAGATTTAACCAGGGGTTGTCATACTTTTTCTACAGCATGAAACATATTATGCTGGAAATGTGTTACATGCCACCCAGGAACAGATCTAGAAGCTGCCCAGGGCAAATTGTATTTGGGATGAAGAGAAAAAAAGAGGTTGCAGAAATTGGTTATTCAGTTATCACCTTCCTATAAAAGGAGCTAAAAAATGTCACAAAGTTTGAGCTCTCAAGGGAGAAAACTGTGCCTCGCTCCATTGATCCATGGCTGGTGCAGGTCATTGTTTTTGCATAAGTTAATTTTTATGTTGATTCTTATGTTTATAACTTGTAATATAAAAATAATGTAGACTTGCATAGGTAATACTATTATCCATTTCCTTCTCCTCTCATACAGAAATTGCCCTTAATGAGGCTGCTAAATCCATTTCAGGCTTATAATTTATTAGATGTTTGGCTTCACTTTTGAATACTAATACTTTAGATATTTAAGGTGATCTTCAGTTAATCGTTTTTGAAACTTCACAAGGAGATGTGCCACTGACAAGAACTGGGCATGCCACATGTTGGACAAATTTAACTCAAGAATTGCTGAATGGAATTTAATTAACTTTGATGTGGTGAGTTTAACTAAAGTATCACAACATAATTCCAATTTTGGTTAAGATCTGACAACAGTAACATACACTTTGTGTGATGATCTACACATGTTTTGTGTGTTTTGTGGGCAAAGTTGATGCCCCCAATTTGCTCTCAAACATCAGTGTGATTGGAATCTGCAGTCCAGGCAATTAGATTAGAAGAAACCTTACAGGCAACTCTAGGTTTACGAACAAGTTCCGTTCCAAGATGTCCGTTATGTGTATCTTGCATTCCTGAGCTTTTACAATACGTATCGTATCGTATCGTATACGTTAGCAGCATTAAAACCATGTATTAAACATCGAGTGGTCTATACAATACATTTTATTATAATGTATGTATGTGTTATGGTTTATCAGTAACAGCACTACTATTTCGCTTTGGACCCATACATAACACAACATAAAACATATTTTTAAGTCACCAAATGCAGAATTACAATTGACCGTCTATGATAACCTAGGCAAGGCAAGTGATGATCCTATTATATTATAATAGGGGAAATCACCGATTTCTTTCCCACGAGAAAACATTCTACGCGGTGTGGCATGTAAACCAACGTTTTTTTACTGGCTAGATTAGTTTTAATATCCAAGAACAGTTCAGTACAATTATCATGTAATAATTTTCTGATAATAATTATAATAAATACATTTTTTAAAAGTTTATTTATTTAAATCTTACAATTATGACCACTATACGTCAAGCATTTCGTTTTATGAGGAACTATCTATTGGCGAATTGAAGAAATTTTGAATGAAATGTGATGTTCGTAAACCGAGAGTTTCCTGTATATGGCAGGTCACCCAGCTTTGAGTTTTCAATGTTTCTACCCGGGTTACAGGACACCCAAGTAGGTAAACGGGTCAGAAAATGTTCGCGGGCCCATTAGTTTACACCTTCCCAACAGATGGTGTGGCAATTCACTTATCTTTACATTAGTTCATACCCTCGCCAATACGTGACGCGGAAGTTCAGCTATCTGCATTAGTTCATGCCCTGGGTAATATATGGCGCAGCAATTCACTTATCTTTACATTACTTCTTACCCTCGCCAATATATGGCGCGGCAGTTCACTTATCTTTAAACTAGTATGTGCCCTCGTCAATATTTAAAAAAAAAAGAGATAGTTGAATAAGGAGCATTTCAAAACATACACCATCACTCTTGAGGAGACAAAAGAGGCCCTGCAAATTGCTGGATCAGCTGTTCTTAATTTGAAGGACAAGTCAAATAAGAAACTACCTACAGATAAGATCTCCAATATTGAAGACATATATACAGAGAACACAATTAAAAAGTAAATGGTAGGCGAAATCAATGTCTCTGTTTCACCCTTACACATCAGTGTGATCCTGGAATCTCCAGGCCAGGCAATTAGCTCAGAACAAACCATACCTGATGATCAATGATCCACTAAACCTTCTCCAATTCAAAATTTAAAAGTGTAGATGTGGTTTCCACACTGAAATATAATTGTCTCAACTTTATAGTAGTGGTTGTAAAGCCATGTCCAGACTTCGAATAAAATCTACCGTCACCATCTTTAACTAATCTGTGAAAGTGATAAAAGCATGAACTGAATCATTAAATGTTATGGTAAGAATTTAATATGTCTCCTTGTTAAGCTGCTGAAGAACTAACAAATATCTTATACTGGCTGACAAATATGGAAACCAGATGATGGAGGCAGTATGACCTCTGAAATGTTGGTAAACATTGACCAGACTACACGGTGCAACAAACCAGAAGACAGAAATCTTCATACTCGCCGCTGTGAAAACCTCAAATCATACAAACTAACAAACGATTTTCAAATATGAATAAAATTGTATGAAGTGGCATATGTCCCTGGAGAGACAGAAACAAGTGTGCATACAGTACTTAGCTTTGCTGGTCTTCTTCTGTGTTGCAACACAGTGTGGGTCTTTCTCAGAGGGCTGAAGATGGAGGCAGCTGTTATCTACCAACAAACCCATACAGCATTAAAACCGAAGACCAACAATTTTGCTCACTGCTGTGAGAACCTCCAACCTCATATATGCAATTAATTCACCCCTTCACACTTTTGTATTTAAACAACATGGCAAGAAACAAGTTTTACAACTCAAGTTTGTGAGCACATATATTTTAATGAACAATGTGTACAAATAGGTTAAAAATGCAAGCAACACCATGATATAAGGATTTCATAATTTCTGCATGACAGAAGAAGTTGGGCTTAGTACCATTGGTCAGTTAGGATCCAATATTGTAAACCGCTTTCTCCACATATGTCACCACGTACAACAATAAGTCATCTTCATATTCGCCGTCGTGAGAAAATTAAATTTCATCAGGCATGATGTATATACTACCACAGATAGTACCAGCATTTTGGCGTCTATCATCCCGAGGTTGGTAGGTCCCTGTGGTTGGTATTAATGTTTGTGTCATTAACAGAAAAACAGTAGAATGCGAGTATTATTAAGATTCAGCTTGGATTTAATATCTTCCTTCCTTGACGCCTTTGAAATTCTTCTTTTAAGAAGGGTTTTATGAAAGTTATATGTACAGTAGGTTTTTATATTTAAACGCAACATTTTATATGTGAAGGACGAAGCAATTCTGAAACAAAAATTATAAGTTATATTCAAAATGGAGTCCTACGCAAATGAAGTTTACGTCAAACAAAATTCAGAATTTAGTCGCGTTTCTGTGGGATGATCAGTCTTTAGGACAAACCGTTAGAAACGAAGGCGACGAGTTTTCCAAGGGCCAAGACATGTGCCCTCTGTCAACCAAACTTTGTGATCCTGGTAATTCTGAAGAAATATATTATGGTGTCAATATACCTAGTGACGCTGTCTTAGAATCTGATGGTAAGTAGTAAAGTATAAACATAAATGAATATGTATTCGAAAGTTAGTTTTAAGATTTTGAATTGTAGATATAGTGTATTTACATTCCACGGATAATAATATAAGTACAAAACTTATATATGGACTTATGAATTTTAAATACAAGAACTAAACTACATAGCACAACAACCCAGAAGACAGAAATCTTCATACTCACCGCTGTGAAATCTCAAATCTTGCAACAAAACCTTATTTACATATAGATATACCTAAAGCTTAAGAATTGTCAACAGAGGTAAAATCATCTACAGAGTAGGAGTGAGTTAAGAGGTAAAGCAGACTTGATTACTTTTATATAATGATTTAAACTCTTAATTCTATGTGGAAGATTATTGAATGACGTGATACCTGTGTAATATACTCCTTTTTGGTAGGTAGTGAGGTTAGGATTTGGCATTTGAAGGTCATATTTACATCTTATGTTTAAATTGTGTACATCTTTATTTCTTTGAAATTTTTCCAAGTTTTTCACCATAAATGATAGTAAGGAGAGTATTTATTCACTTGCACATGAAAGTGTAGAAAAGTTTCTAAATAATTTTCTACAAGAACCTCTGCTTTTAATACCTGTCATTATTTTAATTATTTTCTTTTGGATGTAAAATAGTTAATTACTGTCTGTTGAATTTCCATACAGTATCCACTCATATCCATTGACAGATTTATGCAGCATTTGTATATATAAACATTTTTGCTTTATTTTTCAGACACTCTGCATGTCTATAATGACAAATCAGAAGCACTGACAATTATGAAGAAATACAAGGAAGCGAGGTTAAAATCGTTTAAGACAAGACAGGAGGCTATGGAATTTGCAGTTCAAGCTCCTGAAATTGTAGTTCCCTTATCTGTGTTAACAGAAAATTTAGAAACCAGCAGTCCTGTAATAGGCGAAAAACCAAGTCCTTTCAGAGCACCAAAATCACAGGATTTGGTTTGGCTGAGGAAAGTGATAGAATGTGGCGACGCTCATACATTCAGAAATACCATCTGGGATAATCCTCGGTACCTAGTGAGTAGTGGAGATACTCCAGCCATTCTTCAGGTATGCAGGTTGCTTTCCTGTAAGTAGTTTTGAAATGTGTGTGTTAATATTCTATATAGAATTCTTAACTTGGTCATCTCTGATTTTAATGCTCTTTTCATACACAAAAAATAAATCAGACTGCCCTACCAAAACATTCTGTGCAATAAAATGGTTTCACAACATTAAGAGTCAGCATCAGAAGCAGGGATTTTGAAGTTAGGTGTTTCTTTTATTTTTATATGTGTAGTTGGGAGCCATCTATGAATGACTAAATGAAATCCAGGCTCTTGTATGGGTGATTATATACAGAAACCAAAGTTTGTTAAAAA